AAGACTTGTCGCGCTCCTATGGGAACTTAAGCACACGTGGGGCGGGCTGGATAAGGTTAACTACAATAAAAGTAAAATAGACCTCATTCAATTTAAATGACCGAACCACCTTAAGTAAAAATGACAGATTTATATGGGAAGTGCGATAACAGTTGTTAGACTCTTGCAACACATCACTTTTGAGGGGATAGGGATGGAGTTGACAGATTAAATGAGAAAGTGGTAAAATTGTATTATTGTTATTGTTAAAACAATTTGGTACGTTTCAACGTGAAAGTAACACTGAGTTCCCTTACTTTAATATGACTAAGTATGTATGTGTCATCCTAATGAAGTTCCTCACTTGATAGTAAGTTAGACAGAACATGTTCCTACATTTCTACAGATCTCGATCACTCGTGCGGATCGAGATCCGTATTATAATACTAGCCACTGTATTAAGAGTGAGTATAGTGTATAAACCATTAGACACCTGATTCAGGTTGTCAAGATATATGCCTGCTACTGGCTAACGCCTTCGCATGGTCTAACTGACTACATAAATTCCAACACCTCAGATTTTGTGTGTGGAATCAAACCAAGCCCGACCGTCTAGGAACCCGCTGTAAGTATGCCACAATGCAGATTTCTCTTCAGCCTCGACCATCGCACGCTAAAGCCCTTGACATCCTTATTGACTCCGGAATACAAATGTCGTCTCGGATCTCATCGTTGCTCCAGCCTTTCACCTTTATATCGTACCGTTGGGTTGTCGTCTTCATTGGGGACCTGAAATTCTGCGGAAGTGTGATCCACTCGGTGTATGTTTCCTTTTGATTCACACTTTGTACACGTCCCGTTCCCATCATGACTTTTCTCATTATGGTGTGTATAGGTAGGTGATGTGACGAGTATGGTGGTGGTTCGTAGGTATAGGATCGACTTAGAAATACATCCTTTGAATACGACCCCAAGACAGGCCAAGGCCCATTTGTGAATCGTATGTTGGTTGCGATGAGTTTTTGTTCGACTTTCTTGCGGTTGTGAAATCTCTGCCGGCTGTCACGGCTCTAGTGTCGATGCTGGAGCGATCAGATGTACGAAGGTATTTTATAATTTTCTCTACCACTAATAATGAAAGCATTACTTTAACTATTTATACGTTTATGAAAATGTCCCGAATATTCATTCTTGGCTAATATCTGCTTCTCGCACATTCCACTCATGGTAGTTCCCAGTCTTGCTAACAATTTTCAAAATATTTCAGTTACAGCTGAATTGATCCGGAATAATGCTAGAATATTGTAGAATTATACAATCACGTGACGCTCATCAATCGGCTCACAAGCTGTTAAACTGACTTATCTTTCGACCATAATACCGAGTGCAACTCGTTCAAGCCGAAAATCCATCATAAAAAATCCATAAGACCCCTATTCGTGACTGAATCTCAGTTCTGGGAGATTATTTCATTCCAAGATTCGTAGAGGACTGTAAAGGGTTTAAAGAATTCAGAAGTACTTGAAAGACGTTAACTCAATAGGAATTGATAATTTTTCCTTAGGAAGCTAATCTGCCTACGACGGCTCCTGTCTTTTATGTCCTCCTCAGCGTCGCGTTTAAGCTCCCCTCCTAGCCTACCTGAGAGTACTCCATTCTCCCCGGCTACCTACTTTCCTGTGACATCCTCCCCCCCTTAGTACGTACTCCCTTGGGTCTTTCCTTATGCGCAACCTTGCATTCTTCCCTATGCAACCTTTCGCGTATCTGTAAGCGCTACTTCGTTGACGCTTAAATATCTAGCCGGGGTGGTCTTAGTGACCTGTCCCAATCCGGGCACAGCCCGTAACAAGGACACCACAGACAAGTTTTCAGCCTTCTTCCTCCCTCGTTGTTTGGTTTTATTATTTCATTTTATTGTCATGTCTGAGTCTATGACAATGTAGGGCATGCAGGTCCTCTCTACCTATAGGCTAAGGATACCTATGCCAGTAGTAGCTCCTCTCCTACGCCTCACATATAGCTCCCCTCAAACAATACCACCCCTCACAAGTCCTCATTTGATCATACACTTAGAGAAGCCCTTTACCCTTCATCATCTCCTCCCTCCAGCCAACGAAACGATGGCCATTTGCGGGTGTATGTGTCGACGGCTAAGAATAACCACCGAAGAAGTTGGATAGGGAAATGTCTCGGGTCAAAAATGGGGACTGTCCATACGTACGTGGGTTGTTTGTTTCGGTCAGTGCTTGCATTCTGTATTTAGAGCCGCAGGTTATTCTATTGCTAGCGCGTGTCTATATTTAGAGATCAAGAGATCATGTTAATCATGATTAGTGTATAGAGTCCTCGAATTTCAGGAGAAATAGGAATTAAGTTGTTTTTACTGAGTTATCTTTTACTTCAATTACATAAACTTCGCCTGTCACAGGTCAGGCTCCCAGTTACCTGACAGTATGGCAGCCGGGAAAACTTTGCAAAAACACTTGGTGCGGAGCTCTCCTAATGCTGACATTATGTCATGTAGAGACATGATTCATTCATGAGTTGATATTGTTCAGACGATTATGACTATATCACAACGTCATGTACAGACACGATTCATCGTTTGTACCTGTTGTATCAACCATGACTATGTCTCAGTGATATGAGAAACATCATTGACTAGTTACTAGAAACCTAATCAAGATCCTAAACACACAACTGAGACTAGGAGAATTTTACTGAGTAAGTAATTATTCTGATGAATCTAGATCTAGAGGAACATAATCTGGTTGCTTGGCTCGAGGTATATGAACCTGAGCATATCATATATTATAAACTATATGGAAACCTATCTCAATCACAATCATCATCTTAATTCATGTCACCATCAATAGCTGCAAAGGACAGTTTAACCATTTCCTTATACATTAAGACTAGATCCGAAGATACAGTGACCCTTCTGAAGCGTTCGAAGATGCAGGCTAGTTGGGCGCTGCAGACTTGTGAGTACCTGGGAAAATTCACTCCCTGCCTTTCTAGCCTCCTTCAAACTCCTTTCTGAAGGTCGTGCAGAAATGTCAGAAAAGTCTTGACAGAGCGTGATTGATGTATTATAGCTTAGCCCAACTTCTTTTGAGCCGTCCAGGGCTTTAGGGAGTGCCGTTGACTCTTCGAAAATTGATGTCCCCCTAGCCAATTTGCCGAAATCTCGATCTTGGCGCCCCCAAACGTTCAAAAGTCGAAAATATCAGACCTATTGTTCCCACAGGAGGTCTCTTCCTTATATCTCCCCACGCCTCAGTCGCCTGTCCTTTCTCAAGATGTACAGCCCCATTAGAGCAACAGTCCTCTGTAAACCAAGACCCCAACTTTGTATATTATGACTTGATTTCCTCCTTACGGGTATACGTAGCATCGTAAATTTGCAGTGGGTGATAGTGGGTAACGAATGAAGCGAGCCTCTGTTTGCAATTGGGGCAACGCCTTTCCCGGTCGTTGAGGCGAGGTGATGTGTGGTTAGAAAGTGGTTGAGGACTCTCATGAGAAGGATAAGACCGACACTGCTGAGAAGTCGCCGATTATTGGTGTATTTGTGTTTGCTTTCTACTTCGATTCGGATGCGATTCTTCTTGGCTATCTCAGATATGTAGAGCATACTGAGCGATTACACCGGCACCACTAGTAGATAAAGAATTCAACTTTGCCGGCGAAACGCAGCTCTTTCGAGCCGATAATACGTCAATTTGCACTGATATTAGCCTTGTTGCTGTCTGTATCTGGTTTCGGATAGAATGATGCATCCCGCATTCTCATGTGACATCACTAATGGGTATTTGATTTTCTACCTCCCATCTTTAATGATGTTTTGTTTTGTTTTGTTCATTAACGTGCTAGGTTACATGGCTACCGTTGCACTCCTATTGGAGCTTAAGCACGTGTGGGGTTGGGCCGGATCAGGTTAATTACCGTGAAGTACAGATAAACCTCGTCCCACTTTAATGACCGGACCACCTCAAACTTCACCCATGTTTTGAATCATACCAAGCCTAACCGTCCAGAAACCCGCTGTATACACGCCGTAGCGAGATTTCCTCCTCAGTCTCGGCCACCACGCGCCCGAGCCCTTGACATCCTCATTGACTCCGAAATATAAATGCCGTCCAAGATCTCATCGTTGCTCTAGCCTTGCACCTTCATATCGTACCGTTGGGTTATTATCGTCATTGGGGATTTGTGTAATCCCCTCGGTGTATCTTCCCTTTTCTTCATCCTTTGTACACGTCCCGTTTCTATCATGTCTTTCCTCATTAGGGCGTGTGTAGGTAGGTGATCGGACGGGTATGGAGGTAGGTCGCAGGTGTAGGATCGATTGAGAAATGCTTCGTCGCAAGTATAAAAGGAGTTTAAGAGATGTCGGATTTTTGAGTACGACCCCCAGATAGACCTAAATCCATTCGTGAATCGTATGTTAGTGGTGATGAGTTTTTGTTCGACGTTGTTCCGGCTGTGAAATCTCTGCCGACTGATTTTTCGACCAAAATATCGAGTGCAACTCCTTCAAGTCGAAAATCCATCAATTAAAATTCATCCCATCCTTTATCGTGACTGAATCTCGGCTCTGGGAGAATATTTCACTCCCAGGTTCGTAGAGGACACCGCTGACAGGTGTTCAGCCTTCGTCCTCCCATCTTTAATGATGTACGGGGAACGTTGTGAAATTTTCACCCATGTCAAACACAATAGATAAAGATCTAGGTTGTTTAGTCCAAGAATAAAATATTCGGCGTCTAGTTGAGATTTGTCATCAAGTTCAAAAATCATAAATACAGCATTGGGCAGCTTGAATGTACAATAAAAATAATTTTCTACGCCAGCAAAATTCCAATCCATAGTGACGAACTTTGCTACTCCATAAAACCGCCAAGACCAAGTAATCATCTCTTACCAACGCCTGGCTAGTTTCCTACTAATTATGCTAAACCATCTCTCAAAGGAGTTCATTAATCTGACATTAAATACAAAATGATTTGTTAGACCTATGGAGAATTAACAGCGGACTTAGTTTTTTCCATGTCTGTATTGAGCTCGGTCTGCTCTCTAGTTTTTAATATGCCACGCTCAACCTGCTCTCGAGTGACGTCAAGGAAGTGTTTAGGAAGACCCATAGATTCAAGGAATAGTACTGCTGGAAGGTTGTCAGCAGAATTCAACATTATTGAAAAAATAAATTGATGTTAGGCTTTAGTGGGCCTGAGTTAGCTTACTTTCTTTCCATTCTAGATCTTTCCTTTGTGAATCCCAATTCAACTCCAAAGCCATTATATCAATCACCTTAGGAGTTGCTTCGAGCGCAGCCTGTGCGTTCAAGAAAGCTAGCCTGGTACGTCTTGCCAAAACATCGACAGCTGTTTCGGCATACTCATGATGTACTGAATATCGAACTTCGCCATCAACAAATGGATACAAGTCGCTAATACGCTCACCACGTACGGGAAAGCGTTTATTCGTCGATTGAGAGAGCGCAGCGACGCCCCAGGCACGGTCGCCGTAAGAATCCACCAAGTGCTTTGCAACATCTGTTTCCAGCCCATAATACTGAATAAGGTTGATGAATAGATTTTTGCAGAAACTGTGCGCACCTACTAATTTGACTTTGTGGGTCTGACAGGAACCATCAAGTACGACATCATCGTCTTTAATTACTGTATTGGAAATGCTGCATGGTTTTGGAGTGAGACTAAATTGTACTAAAGCTTCATCTACAGCTTCTTCAGCCATTTGGCGATAGGTTGTCCACTTTCCACCTGCGCAGGTCAAAAGACCAGATGGAGATACATTGATCAGATGATTTCGGACGAGGGATTCTGTATTCTTTGCATTAGGGTCTTTAACGAGTGGTCTTATGCCAGACCAAGCTGCTAGTACGTCGCTGCGACGGACATTGATATCTGATGACAGATAATGACGAATTTCCGAGAGAATCCAGTCGATGTCCTCTTCTGCTGCTACGGGGTTGTGAGATATGCTCGTCGGTGCATCAGTGGTACCTGCAATAGTATTTCCTTGCCATGGCAAAAAAAATATAACTCTCCCATCAGAGGTCTGAGGATCAATCAATCCCATATTTTGAGGACTATAATAGCCTGGGAGAACTATATGTACTCCGGAACTGGGAGAAACAATTTCTTTTACCGCTTGATCATCCATCAGCCTAATAGCATCAGTGAAAGGACCAGTTGCATTAATAACACCTCTTGCCCGTACCACGAAATCGTCGACTTTTTCTCCATTTTTTTCTTTGATCAAGTCTCGAAGGCGTGCTCCACATAGTTTGCCATCGGCATCCTTTTCTAATCCTACTACCTCGAGATGGTTAACAACCGTACTGCCATATAATGCAGCGGTCATGGCTAGTGACACATTCATCCTGGAATCATTATGTGCTCCATCATAATATACTAGAGCGCCGAGCAAATTTGTCTCTTTTAGCATGGGAAAGGCATCTAGTGCCTTACTTCTAGTCAGGAGATATGATGATTCGATACCCTCTGAACCCGCCAGAAGATCATAACATTTTGCCCCAATCCAGTAATATGGCGCCTTCCACCATGTGTCTAGGGGTAACATGATTGGTAACCAGGAGGAAAGGTGAGGTGCAGTTTGCAAAAAGTATCTTCTTTCTCGAAGGGCTTCTTTCACTAATTTGTACTGATTATAATCTAGCTCCCAAAAAGCCTTTTCAAGGTATCTAACGCCACCATGCACCAATTTTGTCGATTTACTGCTTGTTCCACTGCTGAAATCATCGCGTTCAACCAAGGCGACTCTCAGACCACGCGTCGCGGCATCAAGAGCTATGCCTGCACCTGTTGCACCTGCACCGATTACTAAGAGATCATAAATTTTATCGGCTTGAGTGTGTTCCGCATTCGTGTTCAATAAATCCTCGCCTGTTACAAGATTTCCACTTTTCTTAAGATCCGCAATTTGTTTATCCCTTGGTTTGATGGGTGCAAAGCGCGGAGGCCGTAGAGCACCGGTCGGCGCCGAAGTAGTAGGTAGGTCAGCAGCTGGGTTCTTTCGATATCTAATACTATAATACGTAGATCCTCCGACTCCCAAGGCTACAGCGGAAGTGTATATGAATATTCTCGAGAAACGATTTTTGGGTGACATTTTGTGACACTAAATAAGTTATTACGAAGAAGTTCTGATCCTTAGTAGGGGCGTTTGAAGCAATGGACTCGAGCTATTCTATGACTAGGAACACAGTGTAATTTTGAGCTGTGGCACAAATATTGTCAGTTATATTCGTAACGTGAAATTTGACTTAAAGAAATATCGGCCAAGTCTACTTTGATCAAGACCACAGAGTTGGTAATCTAGCCATGTCTGGAAATATTTACAGTACGTGATGTTTTAGTGCCAAGTCCTGGTTGAGAATCTGATGTACCAGAATTCTTACCTTCTTTAATAATTAAGGGTACAGTCGTGGTATTGGGGCCGAGGAGATAAAGGAATTTTTTTCCGTTGACGTATCGTAGAACTGTTGCCACATGGTAGAAAACACGATGGGCAAGGCAGGATAAAGTGGTAATGGAACGAAGTATATTGGGTCTGATACCTTGTACATATTCATATCCGTAACCATGTTAATTTAAGCCACATGATTGCCCTGGCCTTTTGTAGCACGTGCAATAAACTTCGTAGTCATAACTTCGCAGTGGTACTTGCAAATGAAATCCGAGGCATGAGTGATCTTCCTTTAGATTGATTCATCTATCATGTACATTTCTTAGATATTTTGTCATAGTTAGATAGCTGCAAACGCAAAATTCTGATGCAAAAAAAAAACTTCGCACTGGCCGCCTCTTCCAGAATGTAGAATTTCCATTAATGACAATTATGAGTTGCGAGATTGGTAGAGTGCCATACTTTGTCACAGAGATTTTCTCCCATTTGATATAGAGCTAAAGTTTAGCTGTCAATCTAAGGCAGACTATATTTCTTCAACTCCCCAACAATTATCGAATTACAAACAATAATGTGATACTACTCATCCAGGTCTATCCCGTCGTGGACTCCGAGTATCCTAAAGGGTTTTCTGTAGTGATAGTTGGTCCATGATTCCAACTAAAAACCCCACCATGAAGGGACGAAGACTTACTCTTTCAATTCGTCCCATACTCGATCTGCCTTTGCGCATTTCTCCGATTTCCCCTGCAGGTACGTACGGAGAGACCATAGCGGTAATTGTCCTCTTCTACTATTAATAGAGCATGATGGAGCTAGATCGACAAAAGTTCACTGAGCCCAGTTGCATTGAGAATGTCAATCACAATTCAGTATATATATATATATATATACATAGTTCATTATCCTGATTTGGCGCCTTGAGGCTCATGCAGGTTTTTATCGGAAGATATGTACTTTAGGTAAGATGACTCAATTTGACGTTTAGTACACTCACTCTCAGATTTCATTTACAGATACCACCCGAGATTAACCCTTACGGCGTATGACCTCTTCCGTGCATACCCACCACAGGGAAAAGCGTGAAAACCCACTGGCTATCCAAGTGTGCTTTCATCATCCCACAAGTACGATATCACCGCGAGAGAGAGTGGTGTGTGGGCCTTACTGGATTCGAACAAGCTTTCTTCTGTTTCGAGTGGAGTAGTTGTTCAAGCTGCCCAGTATCTACTTGGGAGAATGGCCCGGATGGTGTACCACTGCACTATCCAACCCTCACAATTCAGTAATTGACGACTATTTTCACTCCACAAACAACTGTTCTTCAGCCAAGAAAAATCGCTTCTAGGCTTCTTCTGCAGGGGCATAGGCTTACTTTTGAAGTCATGCAGGGATCTGGTTATTTTAAATTGACCATGGCAAACCATGGACAAACGTTATATACTCCATTCCACAAGAACTTGTTTTGAGTGGAGCTGGTTAGTAACATATTTTCAGACATAGACAACTCAAAAATATTGATCCTATACAATTGATTTGACATCCACACACATTAGCCATGTGTAAAGTAAATCTGGCCTAGCCCGGTCGGCCTGATTACATGTAAATGCACCGAAGCGCAAACTCTTTTCCCTTCGACAATCATGATCCAAAATAAAGAATAAAGGATAAGCACCCATACGAAAATTGGTCTATCAAGGTCAAAATTCCGTCAGAGTCGAGATACATCCATACTGGAGGGTAAAGTTGAGAGTTTCAGTCGAGATGGCGGCCGGGAGTAGTGGCAAATTTTCGGTTTAAAGCCTAACCTACATAGGGTCACGGCTGTATAAGCCAACGAAATCAACTATCTACATCCCAAGTACGAACAGCACTCAAAATGGGTTTAGAAAGTACACCGAGATAATGTTCACATACTTGTGAATAAACTTATCCTAAATCACTCAAAAACACAACAGCGATGAATCGTTACGGGGTTTACCAAGTGTTAGCTGGCTAGGCTAGCTAACAGCTCTAGCCTTACATACAAATAAATAAAATTTCTATTTGTCCTGATTTGGCGCCCTGAGGGTCCATACAGTTGGAGAGCAAGACTGAACGCCTTGACGCGATATCCCCTACGAACCAGGGATTGAAATATTCTCCCAGAGCCAAGTTCAATCAAATTTCGCGATACCAAAGAAGTTGGCCCTGGAGGCAATGATTCAAAATACACCATGTCAAATTTTCATCAAGTCTATAGGTGCGACCTATTAAGTCCTCAATCCCATTACCACGCCTCTCGTCGACTTTCTCTGGCCTCAGCTGGTCACCAAATACACACCTATGCCGAAATTTGTACCCGCAGGAGGAAGCGAAGCGTGCCGCACAAATCTGGGAGACAGTTCTTTGGGATGGACATGAGAGAGGTCAGGAAAAGTTCACAAGATGATGCAAAGAATGAATACAGTCTTGCCGGGTGTGAAAATTTGAACCTCGACAAGGAGTTTTTACGAATTTAGCTTTGTGCGTGCACCAAGACCTCAGCTGGGAGAGTGCAGGCGACACTGTAAACACCGCCACGGTTGGATGGTGTGGTGGTACATCATCTTGACCGGTTTCCTAGGTAAGGTCTGGATAGCTTGGACATATATCCCACTTGTGTCAGGAGATCGCTGGTTCAAATCCAGCAAAACACAGCCACTTTTCTCGCGTCGTTGGTATACACGGTTGACAAAGGCATGCTTGGATAATCAAAGGTTTTGAATTTCCCTCTGATGGGTACTGACGAAGGAGAGCTATCTGTTTGTGTAAGCGAACATAAATCTTAGTGGTATTTGCAAATGAAATCCAGAGTATGAGTATCTCTTAAGTCAAAAGAGTCGTACAAAATGAATACATAGCACCAGTCATGTGTCAAAGCTATATAGCTGCATACACATTAAATGATTCAAGTAAAAAAAAAGAGCCGATGCAGTCGGCTATAAACCTATCTATCTATTTACACAGGAGGAGACTTCTCGGTGAAAAACTTCCCAGCTTTCCTATTGTTGGAATCGGCAATTTATTCTTCAGGAAGCATAGTTACTCTGTAGCGCCGTCTGTGTGCAACAATCACGTCCCCTATATCGACCCCAACCTTGTGCCAGTCCTGTCTCGTTCCTTAATCAGCACTTTGACTGCATTTATCATGCGGAATTCTTCTATCAAATCATGACTAAGAATCCATTGCGTAGTTCTTTTTGTATCGCCAGCATTGTCTATCATTGCTTCAAAGGAGCATTTTCGGGCTTTTCTGCAGATCTAACCCCTAGCACCTGACCACTTAGGGCAGGACATGATCATGTGCTTGGGATTTTGTGATTGGTAGCCACGCGGATAGCATAGATCGTAGACTTCTGTTATTTTTCTTCTGTGTAAATACGAATTAAGCCCAATGTGCTCGCTTCGAATTTGGATCACTAGACTATTTTGGGCCCATAACATGTTTCTATAGAGGGTAAGAGGAGATTCCGGGAAGCTTATTTTTTGACGTCCAGGATGTCGGTAGTGATGGAACATAAATGCTCTCCAAGTTTCAGGATCTGCTGTTCCAAGTGTTTGAGTCTGTCGACTTCGCTCTAACGTAGACCAAGATTTCGCCTATTCTAGGTATGCCGCAAGCCTTACGGCTTCTTTCTGTAAGTCCTTGGATTGCTCCTCTCCGCAAAAATTTCTCCAGTAGGCAAGGTCTACTCTTCTATTGTTTGCTCGAATATCTTCTCTCCCTCTTTTTGGCAGGTTGATCATATTACATACAGACTGAATAGCTTTTTGGACTGGTAAGGAATGTAAATAGCCTATTTGTGACGAGAAAGCTGAGTTGGTGATGATAAAGTCGATTTAATAAACTGTATAAAGAAGGAAGGAAAACCTAGCTACAACTAACGAGTATTTATGACATTCAGCCCCTCAGTGACTGTCTTGACTAATTTCTTCGCCCTAGGCCGAATACTTGCCACTCAGCCAAACATTATCGTTGATCCCTACGCTGTGACACTGATCTAGCTCCTGACTAGTAGTGCCGTATCTTCTAGTTTTCCCTATCATTTCCATATAGTCTTACAACATGAATCCTCAAAAATACGCTTATGTATTCACGTAAGCTCAAAAAACGGTTAATCCGTAACACTACGTATTAGACCCTTTGTTGCTTCAAGTAGATTTCTATTGGAAGGGTAGCGGTGTCGCGTTCTAGCACCCTGATGCTAGTCGATCTATATGCTACTGTGACTAGTTGTCGGAATACTCGGGTGGTATTTATATCACAAGCTTTCTGTAGTAGTAATAACAATTGGTGGTTAACATATATCTTCTATTTCGTCACTTCTACCTAAAAGAAACACGTATATACAGCAGTTGTCTTTCTCTCCTGACGCCATTCCTAAACAGATAACTCATTACTCATCAACATAATTAGTCATCATTTCTAAGATAATACATAAAGGTCATTAAGTCATTAGGTCATTGGACACTAGTTTTAAGCAATTTCTTCGAGAGCTTCAAAGGGGATTGAATATACTTTCAATTTACTTTTATTTATTAACGTCGTGTTCGCTCACAGCACTTGAGCTTTTCATGTACCGGTTTTTTTTCATTTTATTGTCCTGTCTCAGTCTATGACTATGTAGGGCATGCAGGTCCTGTCTGCATATAGACCAAGTATACGTATACCAGTAGTATAT